AAGCAGGGATAAAGTGACAGTGAGGAGGATGAGGAGCAGAAAAAATGGGAGAGGGAAGAGGAAATATAACTGAAGCCCATAAACAGCTTGGTCTTCATGAAACCCGTGAACATGCTCAACCTGCTTCCCACCAAGCCAGAAGCTCCCCAGTGTAACTGGCAGTCAACACTATGTCAAATTCAATGACACTTTATAACTGTACGGGAATGCATGCATGCATGCATGCATTCATGTATGTATGGGTATGCATATTTTTATGCGTCTGTGTGTGAGACCAAGTATCAGAAAAGCAACTGCTCAGGCTAAAAGGACATATCTGCTTCAGTTCTTAACAGCTGCCCCCTGCAGTTGCCCTTTTCCACACATGAAAGAGCAACAGTCACACTGTGTGTACACGCGTTTGTGTGTGTACAGTGTGTAAGACATGAAAGAGTGAGGCAGCAGCAGGCATCAAGGAAATATTCAGTGTCTTGTAAATCAGCGCTATACGATGTGTGCCTTGAACAAAACACTTTGCGTGTGTGGGAAAGTGTAATTTATACATGTAGGTTTGTTACCTGCTGTTACTGATTAGATGTATAACACTGGCTCAAACATGATCTATCTATCAATCTATTGATCTATCGTAATCTCTGAGTTTCTGCCTCTAGTTTATTTTTGCTTTACGACGTTAGAAAAGTTCAGGAAACCTTACATGCTTCTCTTGCTTAAACCACAGATGGGAGTCTGTATATAAATACTGGCATAGTGCTCTGCATGTCCTTCATTTACCCGAACCATATCTCGCCAAGCATGTAGTTCTTCAATGGCACTGTAGTCATTCAGAAAATGCAAACTGCTCAACAAGTATATTTAATTTTCCTAGAAGACAGCATTGGTACCATACAAAGAAGACTTTTGCATCACATAAGTGACAAATCCCATTAGTGATTTGTCATCCCAGTAGAGATTTGTCACTAAACCTATTCAAACAGACCTGGAGCACAAACAGACCTTAAAGGACACACAAATGGTAAACAGTAAATATTAATCACACAGATCATACAATTGTCCCTCAGAGTTTTTAGATTTGCTCTTCTGTGATGTCCCCGTTTTCATGCACTAACACTACTAGCACTGCAGAGCAATCATTTCTTTTTGAAAAGACTTCGGAGTAAAAAGAGTTCTGGTTTCACGGATCAAGTCTCAAATTAGCACTAAGGTGTGTATTGTCACTGTTATCTTCTTTTTCCTCCTTCAAGTTATACAAAGCTCGGTTGTAGTGCTTAGGAGGTTGTGGTCTCCATTGCTGGACAGCATCTCCAACACTGACACACCCAAGTTTAGGGGGAAAAAAAAACAACCTTGATTTTTAGCACAAAAGATTTTTTGCTCACATTTGTGTTCGTGCCACCTTTTCCTCCACTGGGGATTTCTTAATGAGCCCATCGTGACCATGTCTCCTTTAGCCTTTTATGTAATTCTTATAATTTTCCAGTGTCGTGCTCTTTAACATACAGTTTGTTGTCCCTCTGAGCACTGACAGCATTTCATATGTGACATTTAATTTCCTTAACATAACAATTGGGTGTTGGGTCAGCTTCTACGGCGGCTCGCTTTACAGGGTGATATATCATCTGGTGTGAACCAGGTCAGTGCCTACAATTGCTGAGCAGCCGTCAGCCAACAGAGGAGGAAAATGGCCAAGGAAAGTATAAAACAGATGAGCTTTCAATTAGTACACAGCTTTACATTTGAAGAGCCACAGCCTGTGTGTGTGCGTGAGTGAATAAAGTAAAGCTTCCTGTGAGGAAGTTAGTGCTGCTCACCAAACCTCTCCTAGAAATTCCCCTTTTTAGTAAATGTAAACTTTCATTAGGTAGCTCATGTATCCTGAAATATCAAACTGTTTATTTTTTACTTTCTCCAAGTTTCCACGTCTTGTATTTTTCTTTTTTCGAATGTGGGAAAAAATATAAAGCTTTTGTTAGACCGAAGCCACAGAGATACAAACTTGGAAGTTGTGTTGACTTTCTTTAAGGACTAACCTGCGTGAGTTTCAGATACGAAGTCAAATCAAACTAAAAACTCTGACCCTTGATCACAGCTTGCCCTTTTCATTTTCCAGATTATAGTTTTTTATTTAAAAGTTAAAATATCTTTTCAATCCATTCAAAATATAAAATTAAAAATAAAAAGCTAACAGAAAAATCACAAAAATTCTTTCATATTTAGCAGGAGTAATAAATAATGGGCAAAAGAACATATGAAAACAAATGCAAACTACAGTTAAAGAACTTGCACACTCTTGCTGATCTCACTTCACTTCCTCTGTTTCAAAAACTATCGTCACCTTGCTTCTGCTAGCCGCTAGACAAAATAATCCGTAAGGTCCAATCAAAACACAGGGTCGTTTGGTCACGACCTGCATAGTAAAAGAGAGACAGGGGTTGTATTTTTCCTCCAAAGAGAATTCCCACCTCGTTTCTCCGTCTTTCTCCATGTTTCCGCCTCTGCGACTCTTCAATGCCACAGACCCTCTGGCTGATTTGGCGACTCAGGCTATTAATCACATGGTTTTAACGGTGCTGCTAAGGCAGAGGTGAGCGAGCAGCAGAGCAGGTGACCCTCCCTAACCGCGCTCCCGACCCCCATCAACCCCCAAACACCATGTCTGTGCCCCGATAAATTCACAGCAGGACTTTGACTGAGTCTGTTTTTCATCCTTCCTCTCACTTCCTGCCTGATGTCATCACTATGTACTTAATAATGGACAACAAGGAGATCTAATGAGACTGACAGAAGGTGTGTGTGTTTGTGTGAGTGAGTGTGCAAAACAGAAATAACTAATAATGTAGAGCACTCACATTTATATAGTGGTTTTCTATTTGACATTCATGGCTGATTTAGAATCACCTGGAAATTCACACACATACAGAGAGAAAATGCGAACTCCACACAGGAAAACCCGGGTGGGGTTTGAGCTAGGAGCTTTCATGGCGAACCTTCTTGCACCGCATACATGGTTAAACTTCTTTATTAAATCATTTTTTAAACGTTTTTGGAATATATGTTAAAAAAAAAAAGAATAAATAAACTTCTCAAATTGGACATTTTTATTATTTTCTTTGTTTTATTTTCAGTGTAATATGAAGTTTAAATGATTGTCTGAATAGGCTACTGCATTTTATTTTTATTGGTTTAACTTGTGTCTGCCAGGAGGAAAGAAGAATGTAAGGATTGGGGCAGAAATACAGTGCAAGGTAAACTACCTTGGTTTTATATACAGTGGTCTCTCGCTATAATGCGGTTCACCTTCCGCGGCCTCGCTGTTTCGCGGATTTTTTTGTGCAATTTTGCATGCTTCTTTTTTTTTTCTCTACAGCGCATTGTGTTCTGTGTCCTGATCGGCTGTAGAGCATTGTCAATCAATCTCGTGCCGTACAGTACAGAATGCGTTCAGATTAAAATTTACATAAATCTGCGATCGCTAGCTTGATGAAGACTAGTGTCTTAGTGTGACTTTGAAGTGCTGTACTGTAGGTTTGTAAGTTTTCTCCCCAACAAACACAACGTCGATGAAACATTTTGCACCGTCAAAGGCACCTGCGGCAGCACCCAAAATGCAGAGGAAGATGCTAACCATCGCACAAAAAGTTGGACTTCTGGACATGCTAAAGGAAGGTAGAAGTTACCATATTGTTCAGACCATCAGGCACACCAGATTATAAGGCGCACTAAGCAAAACAAAACAGTCAGATAAGTCAAACTTTACTCAACTCATTCTTCTTGCTTCCTCTACCTCCATACCATTGATTCATTAATGCTGAATTCTCTGACAGCTTCTCTGTTCCCATGTTCTGGACCTGAAAACAAGGTTTGATCTTTGGTTTCATTTTATAATACTGGACTTATTTTTCTACGAAGGTTTGATCGTTGAGAGTGTTTGAACAAGAGAGAAAAGTGTATAAATGTTCATGCCTGTATAGTGTGTAGTGAGGGGTTTTACAGCTGGCTACTTCGCAGATTTCGCTTATCGCGGGTTATTTTTAATAACTCTCGCGATAAACGAGGGACCACTGTATTTGCATATTCTGGTATAGTATGCTGTGTATATGTAAATTTAATTTATCTGACTACTTTTTAGATTGCAGTTGTTCTACTGTTCTTCTTGCCTTTTTACCGACTACTAATATAACAACATAACAGGCTGATTCCCTTCCCACATATGATGGTCATTGATATTGCCTTCTAATTTACATTTAAAATGGCTTCTAAAGTGAGTTTTTCTGTCAATACGTTGTCAAGAAACCCACACAGGATTTCAACCAGGTCATTACTATTGTTTGTGGCACTCAAATGAGGTAGGAGAACTGTCACAGCATTGTAATTGCTGGTCAGTGACTCAGCTCAAGTTTACCTACTGAAATGGGGTTTTGTAAAAGAGGACATGGAATTTTATATTTAAAAACATAATCAACAAAAGAACAAGCCCATTGCCTCTGCATTAAAGAAGGTAAGGTGCTTCCGTTACTGCCCTTAGGATACAGTCCAGATTGGAGTTCTTCTGCTACATACAATGCAGTTGTTACAAAGAAAATGAATGCTTGACCTTGTTTTGGGCCAATCCCAAAGCACATACCTGTGTATAAAGAGCTTTGAAAACATAACTTTGACTTCATGCAAACTATGAAGGCTTTCCAGCTCATGTACAAGTCGAGATTTTTAGCATGTTGAAGACAAGGCTGCAAAAGAATGATGAAGATTATTTTACCTTTTCTTTCTCTGATAGTTACAAGTAGTCAGAGTTTGGAAAAGAGGCACGATGGCCACGGATCAATGACATCGCAGTGCAATGCGGCACTTCAGCCATTGAGCTTGCAATTGAAATCTGCCCAGTTATCTACGCTGGCTACAATGAGACCCTCCTGATCCTTAACCACATGTTGGACCCACTTTGTCGAGCCACCCTAGATCAATCTGTGACTCCACCAGTTGCTCGTTTTCACTTTCCACTAAATATGACCCATGGCTGTGGAAGCATATTCAGGACCACCAGCGCTCCTGGGACAGGTATATTCTCTGACTTTTCCAGCATTGAGACAATGAACATCAGTGGTGTGGTCCAGTCTTTTGAGCCCACAACAGGAAAAATTTCCTACAAAACTGAGTTGATGTACTACTATTCCTGTTCCTACCCCTTAGAATATATGATCAACTACACCCAGCTTAATGTGTCAGCCACCTCTATCATAGTCGAGGACAACAATGGCAGTTTCATCAGCACCTTGAGCATGAAGCTGTTTAGTGATGCCAACTACACCCAACCACTGGTAATCCCACAGTGGGGAATTGAACTGAGGACCGATGTGTATGTTGAGATCAAGGCCACCAACCTCACACGCCAGTATAATGTCCTGCTGGACCGATGCTATGCCACCATTTCCCCTCTGTCATCCAACTCTAGCATCTTCAACTTGTTTGTCTCCTGCTCTAAGGATCAGTTCACAAACATGATTGAGAATGGAGACAGCCAAAGAGCTCGCTTTAAGTTCCCAGCCTTCCGCTTCATCGAACACGAGAAGGAGCCTGTGTCCACCTACTACATCCACTGCGTCATTCGTCTATGTGAAAGGAGCACCTGCAGCACATTCAAGCACTGTGCACAAAGAATGAAGAGGAGCACCCTTGATGCTTCTGAAGTGGGCATAACCAAGGCTTACACCATCATCTCTCCAAAGATCATTACCAAAGCTGAAAATGTTGAGTCCAAAGAGCAGCCAATTGTTGTAGAAAAATATAATTCTGATGTCGGGCTCGGTGTGGGTGTTGGTGTCCTTGCCTTTGCTTTCTTAATTGCTCTCATTATTGCAGCTGTGTTTTATAAAAGGTTCAGGAAACATTAGAAAATAGTAGGGAAAACAGCAATCAAATGTCAAATTCAAATATTTGTAAGATTTGTGAATGTGTGTGAGGTCTTTTAAAGCAGTCAGAGTATCCTAAAAAAAAGCTTTTTGTCTTTCGCAAAGCAACTTGTCAACTTTCTGTCAAAGACTAACCATTACAGCATTGATGATACTGTTTTTTGAAAATGACTGTAAAATCCAGCATTGACTTTGTAATCTCTATACTCTATTTATTTATATTTACATTGATGTGTCAAAGCATAGGTCAAAGGCTCATGCTTTTTAGGACTTATTGTTCCTCGTGCATGTCTGTAGATAAAGTTATCAGTGTGCCTGTAGGACAGGGTTACGAGTCCAAGATGCATAAATACAAAAAAGGTAACATGACAATATATCCTGTAAAATCCATGAACTTGTATATTAGCTTGAAAGAAATGTAGTTTGCACAATATCTAAAGGATGGAAGAGATAATATATGTAAAACATAATTAAAAAAATAAAAGCAAGAATACCAAATTAACTATATTGTTAATAAAGCTAATTGAGATAAAGATATCCTGATGTAAGAGAGGCTTGAGAACAAATTACACTAAACCCAAAATTACAACAAAGAAATGTATTCATCAAACTAGAATCTTAGTATGTCAAACTCTAAGGTTTCTCTCCATATCTTTTCCTTTGTGAAAGTACTCACTGGTTTTTCAAACTGACGTCATGCCCCATAAGGCCAGTGTATATGTCAGAGGAGGAAGCTGCCTACCTATGTGCAGTATATCTCTGACCCCACTGGGCTACAACTGCCCCATTGCTGTGTGATGTCGTCTGGAGACAGGCTGATAAATGGAAAGAAGAGCCAGAGCTCCCTCGTGAGAGATTCTTGACATGTGACATCTTTAGTAACAACTCCCTGTTTCTCTTTTAGTGCTTTTGTGATGCTAGACGGATTGTTTCCTGCTTCAAATAAAAACAAAGAAAAATGTGCCAAAAGTCATCACCATCAAATGATCATTTAAGAATTAAATGCAAAATGCTTTAGATTAGATGGAGGACCTGTAGTTAGGAGTAATTACATAACTTGAAGAAGGTTAAAATTGTAAATTAATTTCAAAGTACCTCAGTTATCTAATTATGATAAAACTTATTAAAGTTGGCTATAGGTAGTTTTGGTCACTTACTAAAATCCTGGTTAATCGCAAATGAACCACATCACATCCTGGAAATATAAGACAGGCAAACAGAGAACATTAAATCTTCTTTGACTGGAAACACTGTTACTGTTTCAGCTGCTGTTGTGATACACTGACTGAGATGGCCATGAAGTGTGAAAGTTCACAATACAAATGAAATACATAAATCACAACTACAAAACAAAGCCCGAAGTGAAAATAAGAATGAGAATAGGTAAATCTAAAATTTAATATCCATGTGGCAGGTTTTGGATCCATCCAGTTCTCAAGTAAGTTAAGTTTACTTCAAAAAATTTCACTTCAGCATTTGGGTCCATAGCGACGTAACGCCACGCCATACCAGTTGTAAATGATGGGCTAGTCAGCACTATCTGTCAGTGAAATATAGACTGGATAAAAGTGAGGTGGAAAATTCAGAGTTTCAACAGAAACATTTGGCATTGTTGTACAGCCTTTACTGTAAGCCTACCCACATATGCGGGTCACTTTCACACACAGCACATGGAGCAAGTTATTCACGGGCTTCATACTAAACCCCGAACCTGATCAGATCATTATTTTTGCTGTAGCAACGGGCAAATCTGGAATTGAACCACTTCCCAGAGTCATGCAGGATTTGATCTATGGCAGTTTAGCACCAACAAGGTTTGGCAGGGAAATGATAAGAGCCAAAGACCAAGAGGAAGGAGGCCCATTTTTTGATTGGTCTCCTGTGTATAGGTATTATATATTTTGAGATATATTCTCTAAGGCTTTATTCAAGGGAGTTTAGTTTACTGGGAAGTCAATTTATCTGCTCGACTGTCCCTGACTCCAGCTGGCATGTGCATGTATGCACATAGCAGATTGAATTTCATTTATGCACAGAATGGAACTTAAGTTCAATCTCAGAGACAGAGATCCTCTGGAGGCAGAAAAGCTCACTGGCTGAGTTAAATTTCAAAGAGATTTTTCTTGTTGGCTTGCAATATACTACAAAAGAAGAGAAAGAGACAAAAACAAAGTTGTTTGCTCATTCTGAAGATACAAAAATAGATACAAAATGAGGTGAACAGGTCTGCTAACTAAGAGTGATCTTTTTAGGGTTAAGAACAACAAGTCCTTAGATTTAGATTAGGTAAATAGTGTAAAAGTATTAAAACATTGTCCCAAAACTTGCAATGAGTTGGGTAGAAGGACAAATATGAATTGTGCTAACATGTTAGCTTGCCAGAGGAGTCACTAACAGCCATGAAGTACTCTATTAATTCTCAGATGATATATACTTAATAAGCTCCTCCAGAATACTATATTTTTAACTTCTCTCTCAGTGGTTACCATCTTGGCTGCATAACACAAATGGAGAGACCACAGAACAATTTTCATCTAGTAGATGAGCACTTATTGTCAGCAGCACCAGTGATGGTGGAAATCTAGCTAGCTAGCTAACAACAGATTGATTTTTAGGTACATAAAGTGACACTTTAGATGCTTTATCGCATTAGTTCATGCATCATTGTGCTGTTCAGTATTTGCAAATTGTCATTTCAGGCAAGTGCACAACCTGTTCTTTTCTGTGAGATACCACTCTGTTAAAATTCAGATGCTACATATGGATTTATGTAAGCTATGTCTTTACTATGTGAAAGAATATCAAATAAAAAAAGAAATATTGAAATTGACTACCTACTGTTAGTGTTGCTCATGCCATTAGCAGTAGCTCATAGTGTCCTTTTAAGCATGAATGACACCGTATCTGAAGAAGAACTAGAGTTCCTCTTAGCTAGCTGGCTAGCCAAAAGGCTATTTAGAGGCTTTTGTCCAGATGCAGGGCTGAAAGGTCTAAAAAGGGGGCTAAGGTCTGAAAATGTAACAGACTCAACAATAATCATATTGTATTTTTTATTGAAATCAATATGATACTTTCTGGTTCACACTCAGTAGCTAAATATTTATGTATAAATGGTAGGTAGTTTGAATCGCAGAATCTGAGAAGAAATAAGCAACATACATAAAACAAAACAGCTGCAATATAAGCCTGAAAAGGAAAAAGAAACTATCTGACTTCTTTGATATTTCATTACAGATACTTAATATTAGTGTTCCATATCCTTGTGACGGCCTATTATGACCCGGCTGTGCTGATATGGTTACACCCAGTGGCCTTCAGAAGCGGTAGTGAGATGACGGCTGAGCTACAATATGCTAAACATATTATGTGAGTTTATGACTGAACAGCAGGAGGCAGGCAGGCGGGAATCAGGAAACAGGAGGAGGAAGGCCTGCTGTCCATAAACATTGCCGTGTATGCATGTGTGGGAAAGTTTGTGAATGTATAAGAATGTTCCTGAGAGAAAAAGAGAAAAAAATAAACATTTTGAACCCCATAATTTTAATCATTTATTCTTTGGTAGGTTTATGCATTCTCACAGTAATAATAATAAGAGAAACAAGATCAAATAAATTTAGTTTTTATATCATATACGAAGAAAATTTTGTAATCCATGTTGACTGAGGTCTGTCTCCTTATCTTTTTGTTACCCTTCCTCACTGTGTGCAAATAGTGAAGATGGAAGGGGAAAATAAAAGCATGCAGTTTCAGATCCATAAATCTGGACTTCCCTGCAGAGAGAGATGAAACTGCCTCCTAAGGAGCTGGCATGGGCAGACAGTGGGAGCCTCATATCTCATATCAGCAGCACATGGACATCCTGCAGTTTGAGTTAGAGATGGACAACCTTACTGCTCTCTCAGTCGCTGTCTATGTTTATGTTTAACTTCCAGTCTCCAAATTTACTCCCTTTTTCTCTGGCCTTTAGTCCAATAAAATGCCATACAAATGACAAATGATTTTATAAACATATTTTGTTTGTAAAACTGGTTTATCTTGCTCTGGGTCATATCAAACCTGGTCCAATGGGCACTGTAGCTCCTTAAATTCAGGACTGAGCTTGGAAAAACTCCTTTTCAGTTTTTATGCTCAGATCATCTGGAACTCTTATTCAATCTAAATTCATGACTACAAGCCATATTTTACACTATTAAACTATTTATGGGAATTACAATACAAACAAACATTGAAAATGGTCAGGGGAGATAGGATTAGAAATGAGTACATCAGAGGGAAAGCTTACGTTGAGTAGTTTGGAGGTAAAACTATACAAGCATGGCTGAGATGGTTTGGACATGTGCAGAGGAGAGATAATGGATATATTGGGCAAAGTATGTTGAATATGAAGCTGTTCGTCAAAGTCAATTAAAAACTTAACATCACTGAAAATGAAGGCTAGTCTCCTGTGATTTTTTTAAAAAGTTGATTACATTGAATTAAAATTTGTTAATGTCTGTTAAAAATATCAAAGTCTATTTTTGCAAGGTCTGATTGCTAAACACTAGACAGCTTCACCAGGCTAAAGGTCCTTGGTCATATGTGATTCAATGGAAATAATAATGTTATGAATATTGTAAATGCTGAGACCCAAAATGAGGCTGAATTATGACATTGTGTGGGCCAAACATCAGGACATTAGCAATGTAAACACATTGGCTGTTGCAGCACAATACCATTAACAGTTTTGTTACCACTTGTGATATCTGAAGAGTCCAGTATCCCATCAGAACAGCTTGTCATATGGTCAAATAATCAAACAGCAACCTCCTGGCTAGTGCTGAAAGCTACAGTTGCTGGAATGACTGTCCACTTAGACTATGCTTAAGGGGAGGGCCCTTAGACACCCATGTTAAAATGTCCAATTTGATACAAATAAAAGCATCTCTATATCCTGGTCATTCAGGCCTGTTTACACTGTAGTCAGTTTAACCTCCTCCAACTGT